AAAAAAAATGCAAATGACTCAAAAATATAGTATAAGTAAAATATACACTACATAAGAAATAAATTGATACGAAGTAAAAAACGATATATGGTAGAAAGAGATGGTGTGAAAGCAATAAACAAGAACAGAAAAAAAATAAAAATAGGAAGAGTCGATATAAAAGAGAAAAAATAAACGAGAACGATATACTATGGTCTGCATAAAAGTTTTGTGATCATTAAATAGCAGGACGTGTCTGTGTATATATGTGTGTACATCGCTGACTAGCCATGTGCACACAAATTTATATAACGGACTGACTATGCACAAATGTGCACATAGGTAAATGACTATTTATTCACAGGTAGGTATAACCATTTTATTAGTAAATATAAAGTTATATTATTTCATATGTATTTCTTTATAAATGCAAACTATATATTTTATCTTTTAAATTATTTTCATTGAATTCCGTATTATATTGTAATTTAAAAATGAAATTCGCACTGTAATTGAGTCGATTCTTGATTTAGTCGAAATCAACCTTTGATGCCTTCTCACAGAGTGAATACGGTGGCATACATATATTACATTTTGATATCGAAAGCGGTCAAAGTATTTTTTCATTTATTTTTCATTATATTTCGTTCAGGTATGTTTAACACTCGCTAGTTGATAAGATTTAGCGAATAGAAAAATAACAAAAATTGCATTAAAATGATGAAACAAACATTGTTTTTTTATGTATTTTATTTTCATTGATTAAAATAAAAATTTGCATTACACTCATTCCGTGATTTTGATGGAAATTTATATTTTAATTAGTGAAAATAGAATGTATAAAAAATAATGCTCGTTTCATCATCACAGATGCCTTTGATTTGTATTTTTCACATTCAAGTCATCATTTTTTTTATTCTCTGAGTAGTTAATGCACCAATTTTGAAAGACTTCCTTGAATTATTCTCATTTATCAAATCTCGACCCATTTTTCTGAATGATGAATTTCAACGCACACGGATAAATCCTTAGATTTAAGTAAACTTTCTTTTGAAGTCGATATTGAGAATGAATATGATAGACTTTTTAATATTATAAAAGTATTCATTTAATACTATAAATGAGATTATATTAAAACGGTCTATCTGACTATGAAATTATGACTTTATTCGCTTTCATTTGTCAAGTATTAATAGTTTAATAACGAATAGATTAAAGCGAGAATTAATTAATTTATCGTAATAGAGTTTACGCTCTCAGACTTTTTATGTTTTGAAATGTCCCAGTTTTAAGTTAATTAAACAAGAAAAAAAAGAAAATTTTTCATTTTACAACTATTAAACAAACAAAATGATATGATCGAAAGAAAAGAAAAATACTGATACTGGATAACTCTGATTTATTCCATTCAAAGTAAGAAAGTTCAACCATTTCTGTCGAGATCTGAGAGGAAAAGCACCAGAAATGCTTTGAAATTAATAGATTTGGATTTAATTTAATATTTTTCAATAATTGTGTAAGTGTATTACTTAATTCATACTTGATTTATATATAGTAAAGAATTAATAAATTAAAACTATAATTACTCTTTTATCTATATTTTTTTATTTAATAATGACAGAAAGTACGATTAGACTCGAGTAAAATATACACATTAAAAGGGCCATCTTATATATATATATATATATATATATATAAGTTATTAATTCTTTTTTAGATATTAACAGTTCATATTTGACACACAACGTCATATTCTTCTGTATATTCATTTTATTTTTCAATACAAAAAGGTACTAATTGATCAACCAATAAATTATCAGTGTTACAACATCTCATTTAATCGGTAAGTTAAAAAATTCCTAAGTTCTATATATTTTGGTACAACCTAGAGAGCGATGACAACACACAGTAAAAAATAAGATATTTATTTCTGTTTTCTGACTATCTAAGTAAAAAAGGGTACAACAAATTAAATTAAAATCGAATTAAAATGATGTACTTTCAATTGATTTTTAATTAAAAAAAATCGGTTTATAACGCATCTTGAGGATGTAGACGAATGATTATTGGTTTTATGATTACTCATGCTCACACTTAGATGAAGATAATGCTAGCGTGGGAGAACTACAACTCATTTTGCCTTTAATAAGTCTACTCATTATAGGAAATCAGTTATCCACCAGCATAACAAATGGCATCCACAAGAAACGGACGCTTTATAGACAATTATATCTCAAAACTGCAACAAGATGACTGGAATCCAATATTCGGTTATAAAGATCGGCCTCTTAAGTCCTTAGAAGAAGCTGTAGAAAGCATCGCTCAATTCGTCGACAATGTCATGCAGTATGCAAAAAACGCTAAAGAAAAATGCAAAAAAGATACACAGCTGACAATAAATGAATCAGCAGCAATCTATCTTTACACAATGAAAACAACAACTTTCTATGAGAAACTCAACACAGTTCTGCGAGGTGAAAATCCACCCGAACTGATACCATGGTTCGACTTTCTAAAATTGTTCACTACCGCTCTGTCGAAATTACCGTCACGTCCAACTACGGTATGGCGAGGTGTTGCAAACATTAATGGCTCCGATTACTATGAAAATGATATATTCACCTGGTGGAGCGTAAGTTCATGCTCGTTAGATACCAATGTCGGTGCCTTCTTTATAGGCGAGACGGGTACCCTGTTTTGCATTAATACTATTAATGGCAAAGATATCAGTGATTACTCATCAGCGGAGGATGGAGAGGCATGGGAGAAAGAAGTCGTTCTTATGCCTGGAACTCGTTTGTGTGTCAAATCCAAAACGCTTAATGATAAAGGGTTAGACGTCGTTCATTTGGAAGAATGGCAAGCCTATTTGAAAAACATAATAAAATCTAACGAATTGATGTATTAATCATGAAATTCATTAAATATGGTAGTCTTTGACTCAGTGTAAGTGATATCAAACCAGATTTCTTAGGATCCAAAAATTGTGAACTTTAAATTCTCATATTTTCAAACCTTCAATTTAGTTACCATTTATCTATTCTGTAGTATTGAATCTATATTTTCTAGCACATCGATTCCTGAAGGAAAACATGTCATGATATCCTATGATTCGAATAGTCAAGAAATTGTATCCAAATTTTATCATTATTTACAACTTGAACATATACCAATTTGGGAATCCATGACAGATGCTCCCGAGACATTTGCTCCCGCGACAATTGCTCCCCGGACATTTGCTCTCGCGACATTTGCTCTCCATGGACATTTGCTCCCCAACGACAATTGCTCCCCAGATATTTGCTCCCGCGACATTTGCTCCCCGGACATTTGCTCCCCACGGACATTTGCTCTCCTGAAATATTTGCTTTCGAATATTAACTGTCGATCGGCAAGATGATCGTTATTAATAGAGTGTGGGTGTGAGCGTCGAAGATGATATAGTTGGAGAAAACATTATAAAACATACACCCATACTGACACCCACACTAACGCTCACATTAACACCCACACCCACACCCACACCCACATCCACACCCACACCCACACCCTAGTCTGTTTCATACTGTTGAAGAGCAAATCTTATAGAAGAGAAATGTCATTGGGGAGCAAATGTCGTTGGGGAGCAAATGTCGTTGGGGAGCAAATGTCGTTGGGGAGCAAATGTCCGGGGAGCAATTGTCGTTGGGGAGCAAATGTCCATGGGGAGCAAATGTCGCGAGAGCAAATGTCCGGGGAGCAATTGTCGCGGGAGCAAATGTCTCGGGAGCATCTTTCGTAATACCCCAATTTGGCTCAATGAAGAAAAACAAACGACGGGTGATCTAAAGAAAAGGTATGATTTTTTGGATTATTTTCCATTCACTAAACACTACAATGGTACTATTCTTTTTCACAGTTTGGCTCAAGGAGTAGAAAATGCTGCAGTCGTTTGTTGTTTCATAACTCCGAATTATCAAAAATCTGACTTTTGTCAACTCGAATTAAAGTATGCACAGAAGCAACAAAAACGAATCATCCCATGTTTGCTCGCTGATATAAACATATGGAAGCCTTCTGATTGGTTAGAGCCAATAACTAAAGACTTCGCACCAATCAATTTTTACAACGTCTCTGAACCATCAGCCATGCAGAGAAAGGTGCGAGAACTGATTAATCGAATAGAAGACCAACCTCCATTACGTCAGGATATATTCTCACGAGTAGCTGACCGAGCAAGTTATCTGTTTGAACTGATTAAATATGGATATAAGCGAAATAGTCGTATTGAACGTTTCATGAATCCAGCCAGATCTTTTCCCATCGACCAAAGTTACATCAATTTGGCCATAGTCGAAACCAAAGAGCAGCAAGAAAAAGAAAAGAAGCTTCGCGATTCTCAGCACAACGATGCGATTATGGAAGCATTTGAAAATATTCATGGTACCAAGACGCCTATAGATATTAAAGACATTTTCAAAACATGCAAGGATCAACCAAGGAATGTGCTCGTATCCGGCCGAGCTGGCATTGGAAAATCAACATTCTGTCAATACATTGCCTATCAATGGGCAACTGGTATGCTTTGGCAAGAATACGATCTAGTTGCTTTGATTTCCTTGCGTTCTTTGACAGAGGAGAACTACCCACATGACCCACATGGTAGAAAATATTTTCCAATCGATGTTTTGAAAACATTGTATTTTTCTTTTGGTCTGTCCCTGTCAGAACAAGACGAAATGCTTTTCCAAAAACAGTTTGATAAAAGTCGCATTCTGTGGCTTTTAGATGGTTACGATGAAATCGTCCAGAATCTACCGACACATCTCAACAGTTTACTGAATAATCAGTTACTCGAGACTTCGGATCATATCATAACATCCCGTCCATATATGAATAATTTGTCGCATTCTGTACAATTGGAAATTACAGGCTTCATAGATGATAATATTTGTCAGTATGTCAAACATTTCTTCGAAAAAAATAGAAATGAAGCACAGAATTCATCTGCTGAAGACGAAAAAATACTACGCTTTCTCAAACGTAATCCTAGGATTCACGGTATTGCACACATTCCCATCAATCTAGAACTCATTTGTAGTGTTTGGAGTAATATAGAGTGGGCAACAATGAAAACAATGACGGTGACGATGCTGTACGATGCATTGACCGAATGGATATTTCGCCGATATTTGGAAAAACAACGAAAAATCTCAACTGATGTACTGTGTGAAAACGATGTTTATGAAATATGCAAGAATGAAGTGGCATTCTTAGAACGTCTGGCTTTCCTCGGAATGGAAAGTAACACTATAATTTTGGGTTCAACTCTACTGCAAAAAGCACAAAAGGAGACTAACTGCTCATTAGCCGAGAATCGACACTTACTCAATATCGGATTACTAAAATCACTCACAAACCATTGTGGCGTTGGAACACGAATCGAAGCAAAAAAAGATCATTACTTTGTACACCTTAGCTTCCAAGAATATTTTGCAGCACGGTACTTGGTCACTGCTCTCAACGGCAAAGCACCTCAGGAAATGATTGAATTTATCCAAGGCCATAAATACAACCGACGCTTCGGATTAATGCTGAACTTTGCGTCGGGACTTTTGGCAAACAGCTACAACACTAAATGTAATGACACATTCTGGAACACAATATCAAGAGAGCCATTAGATAAGGTTGGCATAAGACACATGCAAATTGTTATTTCTTGCTTAGAAGAAGCACATCATAATGAAAACTTCCAACAATATAATGAAATTATGAACTATATAATTAAATGTATAGAGTATGCCGTCCATTCCGAATACGAAGTGATACGCATCAACCTAAACGAGACTTTACGTGGAAGTCCCTCGATAGTAAACAAGCCTGAACTAATCGAAATTGTCACTAAGCTTTTGCAAACCAACAATGAACGTACATGGCGGAATGTCATCTCATTGATAACTGAAATACCACTTTACAATCCACCACCGCAGTTCATACAGTTGCTTGTGACTGCATTAGAGAATCCCAATAATTATATAAGACGGGACGCATGCCAACTCCTCGGTCAGCTAGGCGAGACAGCAGTAACGATGGATGTCATCACAGCGTTGGTGACAGCACTGAGCAATGAAGATGAATGGATCAGAAGTAACGCATGTGAACTTCTCGGTCAGATGGGTGAAAAAGCAGCAACAAACGACGTGATTGCAGCGCTGCTGACCGCACTGCAGGACACTTATAAGATTGTCAGAAGTAAGGCATGTGAAGCTCTCGGCCGGATGGGTGAAAAAGCAGCAACAAACGACGTAATCGTAGCTCTGATGACCGCGCTAGAGGATAAGGCTAGTACTGTCCGAAGTAACGCATGTGGTGCTCTGGGTCATATTAGTGGAAAAGCAGCGACGAAGAATGTGGTCGCAAAGCTGGTGACTGCATTGAGAGATGTGACTTATGATGTTAGAGAAGCCGCATGTGATGCGCTCGGTCGAATTTGTGAAAAAGCAGTGACGGATGATGTGATCTTAGCGCTGATGACCGCGCTGGAAGATAGAGATGGTAGTGTCAGAAGAACCGCATGTGGAGCTCTCGGTGAAATTGGTGAAAAAGTAAGGACAAAAGACGTGATCGCAGCACTGGTGACCGCATTGAAAGATGTGGAAGAGTATGTTAGGAAAGACGCATGTAAAGCACTCCGTCGGATTTGTGAAAAAGCAGCAACGAATGATGTTATCGCAGTGATGGTGGTCGCACTGAGAGATATGGATGATTATGTCAGACAAGAGGCGTGTAAGGCACTTGGTCAGAGGGGTGAAAAAGCAGCAACGAAGGATGTGATTGCAGCGCTGGTAACTACACTCAACGATGCCAATGTTTGGGTTAGACATAAGGCCTATGGAGCTCTTAGTCACAGCATTGTAAAAGTAGCAACGAATGACACGATCACGCCACTTGTAGCCGCAGCCGGAGCAACGAATGTTGGTGTCAGAAAAATGGCATGCGCATTACTCGGTCAGATCGGTTTAGAAGCAGCAACGAGCGACGTATTTGCAGCGCTACTAACTGCACTGGGAGATGCGAATAAAATTGTTAGACAGAAGGCATGTGTCGCTCTTGGTCATTTGGGTAAAAGAGCAGTAACAAAAGACGTGATTGTAGCGCTGATGGTCGCACTACGGGATACGCATAATATTGTCAGAGGAGAGGCATGTATCGCTCTCGGTCGGATTTGTGGAAAAGCAGCAAAGCATGACGCGCATCATTATGCCAGAGGAGAGGCATATGCACTAGTCGGTCAGATGGATGAGAAAGCAGCAACAAACAACGTAATTGCAGCTCTGTTAACTGCACTGAAGGATGCAAACGATAATGTTCGACAGAAGGCATGTATCGCCCTCGGTCAGATGGGTGAAAAAGCTGCAACGAATGATGTGATCGCAACATTGGTGACCGCATCGAGGGATGCGAATGATAATGTCCGACAGAAGGCATGTGTCGCTCTCGGTCAGATGGGTGAAAAAGCAGCAACGAACAACGTGATCAAAGCACTGATGAGCGCAATGGAGAATGTGAATAGTATTACCAGACTCAAAGCATGTGAAGCTCTCAGTCAGATGGGTGAAAAAGCAGCAACAAATGATGTATTTGCCGTGCTGGTTGCCAAACTGGGGGATACCGATAATATTGTCAGAAGTAAAGCATGTGAAGCTCTCGGTCAGATGGGTAAAAAAGCAGCAACAAACGACGTAATCGCAGCGCTGACGGTTGCACTGGGGGATACCGATAATATAGTCAGAAGTAAAGCATGTGAAGCTCTCGGTCAGATGGGTGAAGAAGCAGCAGCGAACGACGTGATTGTAGCGCCGGTGTACACAGTAGGAGATGTGAATGATGGGGTCAAACAGAAGGCATATGAAGCTCTTCGTCGTGTTAGTGGAAAAGAAGCAGCGAACAAGGTGATTGCCTTGCTGGTGGATGCATTAAGCGATGCGAATGCTAGAAAGAAGGTGTGTGAAGCTCTCAGTTTTATCGGTGGAGAAGCAGCAATAAACAGCGTTATTTACGGATTATTATGTATCGATGATTACGATGCTGATGTAGCATTGGAAAAATTTTTTGTTTCTGGGTCGTCATGGTCTGATATAGATCGGAATACAGTGTTAAAATTATCTGATTTCTGGAGCCGCCAAGAATGGTATGTACGCAATGTACCTACAGAGAAGATTATGGATACGTACAGGTTTACAAAAATCGCTGAATGGTGCCCTATTATTGGTTTACATTCCCTTCGTACTGCTTGTGGTATTACTATTGTTGGGCAGAGGGTGATTGTTTATGGCAACTCTAATCCAATAGCGTTTGACATGCCGAGTTCCACACTTTGTGATCAGTTAGCTGGCGTGTTTGATAATCAGAGAGGTTTGGCGTTTTACCTTCCAAACAAGTCCAAGAAACGTGGTTTTAGTGTTTAAACAGTTATTGTCGTCTGTTCTGTATGAAAACGGAGATAAACGATAAAAAATATTTTGACGATCACATTTTTTCGTTTTCACGATTCGATCAGCTGTCCACAGCGTTAGATATGTTAAATCACTGCTCAAACGGTCGTATACGTTAATGAGCTTTTCGTAATAGATGGCAAGGAATGCTTTTCATGCCGTTTATACCAATGAATACTTGTCTGAATGCCCAAATTAGATTAACCTGTTTACTAAGACTGCGTTTCTGTTTTTTATTTTTTAAGGTATATATGAAAGATATTTAGATCGTTTGTAACTTCAATATATCTTTATTAACTCCCAAGTTATATTTTTAAAAATTATTTTCTATACATTTACTCGAGTAAAATATGGTTTCTTTCATTAAGTAGGACTTTGCGCAACATTTAAATTACATGAATCAAAATCATATGCTAATACGAAGATTAGGATATTGAAAGAATACATCAGAAGAGTTTATGCTATTTGATCGCGAATTTGCACATTGAGATTACAACTTTTCGATGAAATTTGACGCTCGAATCATAGGGTAAAATATAGGTTTTGTAATACTACAGAACTATCTTGAGGGTGAGTTGATGTGGATGATAAATAGATAAATTATCCATATTTACACAAACCCACATCCATTCTCAATTAAATCTCCCACTGAAAATTGATATTTCATCGTTTTCTAATAGGCAATTCTGTTAAAGATTCAATAATATAATTCAAACTCTACTTTGAAAAATTCTATGATTCCATTGATTGTAATCATAATATTATATTTATTCGTCTAGTAAACAGATTTTTCAAACAACGGAGAGTTTCAAAATTTTAAAATTGACTTGAAAGCTCGGACCAATAAATGATATGAACTAAAAAAATCTCTGTTTTTCAATTGCACTTATAATCGATCTCTAATTTGTTTTGTCTGCAAGTAAAACAAACCAAATTTAGAGATTAACAGAAAACTATATTGAACCTTGATTTATTATCTGAATGAAAATAAAAAATATTTTATTGTGTATATGAAAATTGATTTAAATCAGACTAAAGTTATTTAATACATTTTTCAACAAAGATTAAACTTTTATTGAATCGATAGTTTTGGTTTTAAACCATTCGTGAAGTAAATATTTAACTTGAGGAGTGTGGGTTGGATGTTGGAATATCTGCAATAGAACACACACATACTCTCAAGAATCAGAACCTATTATTAACAAGCATTTCTAGCAAATTCGAATTGCAGAAATAAATACTATGTCGTAAAAACCTACCACTACCACTGTCATCAGTACCGCAACGGCAACGAAAAGAACTACAGATTATCCATCGACTGCAACAACAACTATTACCAACCAAATTATACATTTTCTTTTACGATTAACACAATTTTTGTTGATGTTACAATTGTAGCTAATACTTAGGCTTTTTGTTCAACCTTGGAAAATATCTGACATTGCTGACTCTGTTCAGGAATTAACTACTCAAGCAACAAGTACTAGTTTACCAGTAATTCAAAAGGATGATGGCAATAGCATTTTTCATTTAAATTGTTATGTAGCTGTGCTTAGCTATCGTTTCATGAAAAGTAATCATCGAGCGGTCAGTCGACATCAAAAATATGCTTAAATAAAAAAAACAGATTTCTAACTTATGTTTTCTTTAGTACTATTTATTCTTAATTATTTAATCAAGGGTGTGGGTGTTGGCGTGGGTGTCAGTGTGGGTGCAGTTATTCTATTATTTCAACACCCACACCCACATTCTGGCGAGCAAGTGCCCTACAGAGCAACTGTCCGACGAGCAAATGTCCTAAACCCAAAAGATTTATGAAAAAAACTTTTCACCAGAAGCTTTTTTAGTCTGTGTCCTTATGATATTTGGCGACTTACCTGGAAAAGATAAAAATTTAAATTTTTAAGAAAAAAAAAATTTCTTTATTCTTTTTTTTAATGTTATTTTGAAAAACAAAGTAGAAATATAGTAACACCCCTAATTTCTATTCGTTTTTGCCTAGACGATCATCGTACTTCTCTAGTTTCAACTAAGTCACAAAAAGTTTCAAAGAATAAAGATCAAATCATGATAATTACATCATTTTTATTACAAGAAATGTGTACAAAATGACACTGATACACAAAAAGTAGACGAACATTGACTATTTATCGAATAACTATTTGTGGAAGAAGAAAGAAGAAGTATATGGCAATGAAAATAGTAACTGTAATAATACTTGATGATCGAGATATCTTCATCATAGTGTTATATGAAGACAATCAATTGATCATTTTGAATAAAGAATCGATACAATCATCTATATTATTATTGAAATTTTTAAACATAAGAATATTATATCCATCACTTGATATCATATAGTATTTCATAGATATTACTTTTACTTACTGAAATCATACATCAGATTTGAAATTGAGTTCCTTGGAAATATTTGCATTTGCACCATAAAATGTGCTTCCACCAACAGCGACAGAGCGAAACTTCATCTATTTTAAAACTTTTTTGAAGTACACACTCTTAAAGTCTCACCATTTCCCTCTTCACTTAGTTTAATAATGGTGAAATAATAAAAAATAAATATAGTAGAATCGATAAATACTTTTTTTGTTTATTGTAAAGTTAAATTTCAGACATAGGAATTGATCTGTATTTGTTTATTATTCGACATATGAATAAAAAACTGACGAATGAATTTGAATATAAAATTAGAAATAACAAAGCTTTTTTTCTCTAGATATAAATATTGTTGTAATCTTCTAATTCCATAAGGGATGTTTATAATTATAAAAGAATATTATTCATAAATATATTGTATACGTGTATAATATCTACTTTGAGGATTAAGTTCTTATAGACATTTATAATATTTTAATTATATTTTCAATTACTGTCCTTAATAAATTTATATTAAAAAAATGAGGTTATAGAGTCAAAAACAGATAAATTCATGCAGAACGTTGTCTACTGACAGTAAAGAGACATTTCCGATATATAAAATGTAAAACTTAAGAGAAACGACGAGAAGATAAATGAAGGAAATAAAAAAGACACTAATTTTGTCTTTTCTGCAAGAAGAAAACATGGGATCAAAAAGACGTTTTTTCATTCTGTATTGAATGGAAGGATAACAGCACGTCTCATCAATAACATTCTCTTTTTTCTATATAAACAAGTTGCGTTTTTTTCCTAGCTATCATATCATATCTTTAGAGTACAAATAAAAATTTTAACTACAAATACAACGTCAAATCTTCCATTGATACTTGAAATTGAATCATTAACAAAAACAAATTTATCTGAATGTCGAATATGTGGCGCTCCTGCTCAATACGTAAATTTTGGCGTTATTTCATGTAGTTCATGTAAAATGTTTTTTAAACGAAATGCTAATATTGAACAAGTGAGTTTTGATTAGTTTTTTTAATTTTTAAATAAAAATTATTCGTTTGATTTAGGAAGCATTTAAATGTAATTTTGGTGGCAATTGTGAGATAAAACGAGATAATCATCATATGTGTGCATTATGTCGACTTAGGAAATGTTTTCAATATGGAATGACTACTGACAAATTTCGAGCATCAAGATCGAAGAAATCATTGGTTAAAATAGAACCACGATATCAATCAGAAAAAGTAAGATAATAAAAATATACAAAATGTTTTTCTTATTTATTTTTGTTAGTTATCAATATTAAATTCTTTAAAACCAGATCATTCATTATTAACTAGTAGTCAATGGACACTTCTCTCAAATTTATATAATAGTTTTGATGAATCTCAACTTTCATTACTTGGTAAATCTTTAGTAAATACACATAATTGTTTACAGCCAGTAAATGTAACATTTGAAAGGCTTGTAGAAAATTATGTATTATCTATTTATGAAGCAACAGGAAGATATCTTCGTTTGAATGATGATATTTGTAAATTATCATTTACTGGTCGTTCCATCTTACTTCGTAATGCTGCAGATAATATATCTTGCATGGCTTCTATATTTATTATACATCATTTTGATTTATTTAGTCTAGATTCTTTTTTGAAAATTATGACTACAATGTTTGGCAATCGTGGAATCTCTCTTGCTCTATTGACAATGAAATTTATTAATCCAGATATTGTAATATTCAAATTAGCACTTTCATTATTTGCTTTATCAAATACTACTTATTTATATTCTCCAAATATTTCAATAGATTCAACAAGTTCTTCTACACTATTTCATATTCAAAATAAATATGCAGAAGTTATATGGAAATATCTTAATTATAGATATGGTTGGTATGAAGCTGTTAAAAATTTTCATAATATCATACATTGGCTTATGGCTTTGACTGTGTACATGGATCATATACAAATTTATAGCTTACATGTTGATAATGTTGATTCAATTGTTGAATTAACTGAGCTTACACTTATATTAGATGATGTTGAAGAAATAATCGAAACAAAATAGAAGCCAACAATTTTTTGTGTTATATGTGCTTGTTGTTTGTCTTATAGTTGAATCTTTAATATATAAGCAGAAATAAACTAAAAATATATTTATTCTACAGTGTAAGGGTATGGATGTGTGTGTGGGTGTCAGTAATGAAAGACAATTCCCACACCCACATCCTCAAGAACACGTACATCATCAAACATTGAATTACATCGAGTTGATGAATTCATGTTTTTATAATGATCAGATTTATTCTAAAAAATATAATTATAATATATCTACCTCTTATTAGCTTAACAGATTTTCTAGAAAAAAAAAGAATGAATGCAATAAAAAAAACCTTGAAATCTAACAAATGTATGGAGTATATCAGTTGTTCTAACAGAATAAATATGTCTAAAATACATCACGATGGTATATGTCGAGTGACACTACATTATTAATAAATGATAAACATAAGAAAAACAAAAAAAGAATAAAAGTTTGTGAGATATTTTTTATTATACGAGTATAGTAGTTCTAAATTGACAACTACATTCAAACTGTGATCCAGGCATCCATATCCTTAGGAATATTTGCAACTTGAACGACATATTCTTTCAGTAGAATAATAAGTGAGTACTATTTGAGAGTAAAGCTCATATTATAAGAATGACATGCTGTCCATGTGTCGGGTTCATATCCCTTCCATATGTGAAATGATTCTTTCGACAGTTCTTCTTCTATGCGATGAATCCAATCTTTACATTCCTTCACTTGTCGCTCATGAAATATGCCCTTTAATCTGAAAGCGGCGGTGCTCTCACAATTTCTAAAATGTTTAAGAGCTTCTGTCAGTTGTCCTTGTTGGTAAAAAGCACAAGCCAAATTCCAATAGATAAGTGCTACAAGCGGATTATTGCTTAGGTATTCAGATGAATCGTCTTTAGTTGTAATCACTTCTTGAAAGAGTTCGATTGCTTCAGTATAATCTTCTAACTTGATGTACACAACACCCATATTATTCTTCGTGATCAAAAGATTGTTATCATCAGGAGGAAGTATTTCAGTTTCAATATCTAAACAACTCGTATAGTTCTGTAATGATTGCCGATAATCTTTTTTTTTACGACAAATGGAAGCGATATTGCTATATTTTATTGCTAAATCAGCTTGATCTATTGTTTCAGTGTTTAGAAGAACCTTCAACGCTAAATAATGGTAAGAGTAAGCACGGTCGTATTCGCCTTTGTCTTCGTAGACAGTTCCCAAATTGCAGTATAAATTTGACAGAGATGGATCTGATAATAAAACATGATTTTCGTGTTTCACGTCTAAGGTTTTTTCAAAGTATACCATTGCTTCATCAATTTTTCTAGTACTTTTATATATAATTCCAAGTTGATAGTAAACTAGCGACAGTAAATCAATATTAGAAGTGATCAAGTCGTCTTCTAAAGCTAATCGTGAAAAATATTCTGCTTCTTTTAAAAAGCTCATTCTACACATTAGTCTTATTAATTTTACTAAAGGTTCATATGGTTTCGCAATATCATTCATTATTGTTGGTTTAATTTTGTGTAAATGCTTATCTTTTTCATCACTTAATTCTAATTGAACAATCCAAACATGTTCATTGTTGTCTTGAACAACTGAGTTTATTCGAAAGGTAACACCCATAGTAAAGAGTACTTCTGTCTCTGCTTCACCGAATGCACTCTGCTTCGAAATATCCGCATAAGAAGATTCATCTACACGGTTATCAATAGAAATTTCAAATAGAACGCATTGTTCATTAGTTATTTTCTCCGGCTGACTGCTGCCAGAATATACAAGTGCCAAGTGTCGGTTTCGAGTGGTCGATAGAAAACTGTTTATAGAGAAGAAACCATTGATATTATCTCGTATTTTCGTGTCGAATTCGGCGTTGTCCATCAGCTGTCCTCGATAAACTTTGTCTTTTGTGTGAGACGAAGACTGAGAGTTCTGGAGTTCCTTCAATCTTAAATAAAGATCTTTAATAAAATATCTTAACGAGTAGAGTGTTTTGATGTCTCGCTCTCTGAGCGCTTTGTTCAGCAGACGATAAAGGAATGTGTCGCGTGTATACCAAAATATAGCAAGTTGAGATGTGTAATATTCTTCAAATTCTTCGACCTCATTTAATTTTGCTGGATCATCAGCATATATTTGTCGGCAGAGGTCAACCATTTCACTTTGTGTTGACCTTACATCTTCGAATAAAATGTCCCGAAGAATTTTTGAATATAGAAACTCGAGTTCATTCAGCTTTCGGTCCATGATCGATGATTGTTGATGCTGCGACGGAGACATTGTTGATATCGTTTTTTCATCAGACAGTTTTTCAGATGCAGTAATGATAAAGTCCACGCGTTGAAAATTTTCTCTACGCTGACGCTTTATATCGGGTAATAAAGTAAGTTCATTACATAATGAATATCGTTCAGTGTAGACTCCATGTACTTTACTTGGTTTATCATACATACCAACATTCATCTCACTCGAGTTACACAAAATGTAGATTGATTTAACTTGTGTCAATTTGATGTATTGTTGTATCAATGCATTAAAAGAAGATGACAGTTTGTCAGTGGAAATAATCATAATTACACGATCTTCATCATGTTTCAAATTGATAAGATAGTCAATGCATTTTTGTGTATCCCGATATGTAATTAGGTATGGATCAATTGTACAAAAAGAAATATAACATTCTCTATCACATATCTGTAGTTGATTTAGCCAAATAGTTGTGACAAATTTCGTCATATTTTAGTTTTCTTTTCCAATATTTAAATTACGAAAAAAGTTAACTTCTTCTAAAATAAATTCACTTTTGTAACAGCATGTTTGTGATTTATATTTTATCGCATATATTCCAAGAAAGAAAAAAGAAAACGAATGAATATGAATCGAAAAACTACAAGAAGCGAAGCATACCATCACGCGTAATGCTATATCATAAAAGATGAAACGAAGAAAGAATGAGGCGGATGAAGAGGGATGTATGCGTGTGAGAGGAAAGAGAGTGTATTATGTGCGATGGACATGACAATATTTAACCTGTTACTTTATTTCAAGACTCTTACCTTCGATCAATACAGTTTTAAAATTTCAACCGATTTATAGCAACATTATGTCCAAGGCACCAATTAATTGTTGACATTGATAAAAAAAGTAAAATAAGTATAAAAGCATATACAACATTGAATGAAATCGAGTTAATGAATTCATGTTTTCATGTTGATCAGATTTATTCTAAAAAATATAACTATAACATATCTATCTCTAATAAGTTTAATAGATTTTCTAGAAAAACATAAAAAATGAATACAATTAAAAAAACCTTGAAATCTAATAAATATATGGAGTATTTTAGTTGTTCTAATAGAATAAGCATGTCTAAAATACAAGGAGACGACAGCAGAACGAGTGAAATTCTTTTTTTCTTCTATTCTTCGACGTCGTTCGAACAACGACATTATTAAAAAAAGAAAAGCATGTTTACATGTTCTATCAATAATATTATTTTTATTTTATCCAATAAGAATCATTTGTCTTAAAAATGATTATATATATGATAGTATTTGTGGTTCTTTTCTTTTTGTTATGCTTTACATATTTGAATTTTTACTTTATATGGAAGAACATGATTTGACGAGATGTGAAATAAAAAAACCTATTTATCTTAGTCTCCTACAAGAAATCGATAAACTTTTAAATTTATCGAGTAGTTTAAATAATTCAGATCTCTCTGAAATAGAGACAATCTTTAATAATGTAACTAAAAATATTGTTCGATTGACGAATCTAATGGATTTTCAGACAAGTACAATATTGAATACAATTGTACGTATCTCTGTTATCACGAAATGCTTTTCAATCAATGTATGAAAAAGATTGTTCTCCAATGTTTGCCAACGATATTTTAGATTCAATATTTGTAAATCTTGTTAAAGCTGATTTTGTTGAAATTTGTTTTAAACCATCTTAAGGGTGGGTGTGGGTAGGGATTCGTCTTTTCTTCATTCTCACCCACGCCCTCAAGATCTGTACCGATTATTTTTCGATCCACTATATATATGATTATGCGAGATGTTTATACACATTGTTTAACCCTAGTAGTACCAGCGGGGGTCATTTTTGACCCCATCTCAAAAAGTTGAAAATATACTAGAAATAATTTTTTTTTCCAATTTTTAGAAGCAGCCAGCATCTGTCTTTAATAGATACATGCTGCTAAATCTGAAAAAACATATATTTGTTTTCTATATCCTTATAACCTGTTAACGTAGGCCTATCTCTTCAGAATATTATAAGTATAGGAAAAAAAAGAAGAAAAATTAGAACTTGTGATATATAATCCAATAACTCATATAAGAATCCAACTTGAATATAAATGTTCAAACAATTAAAAACATTTTTTGAGTGGTTTAAAGCTATCCAGTGACGACAGTGGATGATCTATATCATTGTAGATCAAATGCATCGGTGATATTACTTGTCTTTTTTATTTTATATTTTTTGAGTAATGAAACTACTTGTATGACTTGTTCTAAATAAAGCAAATCATATTCATTTTTCTATGATGTCGAATACAGAAATAGCATATTACATTGAGAAACTGATCGAAAAAAGGAAAAATATGGTTTAAAAAAACAAATGTTGTCAATATAGTGCTTAAAACAGGCCGGTACTACTAGGGTTAATATGTTTAAAAAAGAACGATTGAATGAAAATAATTTTATTATAATTCAGCAAATCGCACTTGAATCGAAAGTTTTTGTTAGTATATACAGTAAAGATAAGACAAACGAAAGCTTGATAAAACACAAACGAAAAAAAGAAAGAGTTAATGCTTAATATAACTATCAAATGTTTTTCAAAAGAAAAGATTTCTTTATCGTCATATATTAGTTGTGAATATAGATTGAATAGATAAGAGCAGTTGGTGCAAATAATGCAAATTGCCAAAATTTAAACGAGAACCATGTTGTTACGGCACTTGATTTTATTGTTGTTGTGGTCGCTGTCGTCGTTGTTATTGTTGTTTCTGTCGTCGTCGTCGTTGTTGTTGTTGTCGTCGTCAAAGCTAGAAATATAAAATAGAGTGAAAAGGGAGGCGTTTTTCAGAGCGTGGGTGTGTGCGCTAGGTGAATACAATATCCATACCCATGTCATCAAAATCGGGGGAACATCGACGATTTAATTGCGATTTAGCACCCGATTAATTGTGAGATCTATCGCGATAAAATCGCCAAAATTAAGTACTTTTTGCCGATTTTTTTATCGGAAAGTCTTGATTCGTAACGATTCCCGCAAAATAAGTATTTCTTACTGGCGATATAATCGTCAATATTTTGAAAAATCGCGATTCATTGCTCAAATCTTGGCGATTTTGAAGACATGGGTATGAGTGCTGTAGTCATATCGTAACCAGATCCATAGGAGAACCTATATCCATCCTCATACGTGATGAAAACCAAAATAACAGTCGAGATTCGTGATAAATCTGAATTGACTCAGAGAAACACAAATCGTCTGGATGTAAGAAAGAAAATTGAGCATCATAAGTCATCTCTCATATATCCTGAATATCGAAAAGCATGTCGAAGGTGAGTGTAGCTTTCTCAAGAGACCACTCTTCAATATAATATCACTCTCAATGAAATCATTCAGTCGTAAAAAAAGAGTGAAAATAGAATCTATGAATATGTTTTTGTACTCAAACCCTCGATAATATATATCACTCATGAGTTTGAAATAACCTCTTTATTTCGTAAATGGATAATGTCTCAATGTTTGAGATAGGAAAAATTGTTTATTTATAGTCTAGTTTTGCTGCTATTGTAATTTATTCAAAAATTAAAGTACGTAAAGATATCTTTTAGATTTATACAAAGTGAATTTAACAAAAATCAAATTTTTTTTCATCTCATGATTACGAGCAGGGATTCATGCCGATTTGCATATTATTTACATTACATTAACGATCGATTGAAACGGGTCTGTATTAAAGGAGATTGATCTGATTCTATTCACAATATTCTATTATATGATAGATCTAATGTAGGTGTTTGTCTAAAGCTTTTTTCTTTCATACGAATGTCATCTTACAAAACAAGTTTTTATTTGTGAATATGCCAAACTCAACTAAAAACTGATGCTAACGTTGCTAGATATTCATTTAATAATTGTAGTGCAAACACTTACTAATCTTCCTGAGATCAACATTGTTTGGACCGGATACAAAGATCAAGAATGTACCTATCGTAGCATTACCATATGCTGACACAATCAATGTATATGTAATACTGGTTTCAAGAGCAACGGTGAATCTAAACTGACGTAGATCACAGCTGTCATCATTGTCTACTATTAGATTTTCCTTTGGATTCAATAGATTGAAATAATCTTTGTAAATATAACCGTATGTATTCATATAGCTTTTACTGAGAAAAGTGTAAAGACCACTTCTACGAACATTCACTTGTGTTACTTCATAGTAGGAACTTGAACTTGAAAAGCTATCGAAATACATTGAACTATTCGTTGTCAATTCTGATGCATAAATTGTTTGAACAACTGATGAAGTATTCACTAATAAAAAAGAAAATCAATTCAATTTTGTATAATCTGAAAATAAGTGTAAACAATTTGAAATATAATTTTCTCTCTCAGATACATTTACAGAAAGCGACTGGAACTGATGTGAAACTTAGTCTCTACCGAATAGAAATATCTGTATATCATTGTATAGATTGAGTTAATCTATATTATCTACTGTTGGTGGATATGTGCAGTTGATTATCTATTAAAATACTATAGATACTCACAAATACGATCGAAATCGATATAGCTTCGGCCAGATACCTGAATTGAAACATTTCCTGTCACATTTAAAGCAGATGTTGTCATAACGAAAACATATTTCATATTAGCCTGGAGAGCAGCTGTAAGTTGAAATTGACCTCGATTATCGAAATCTCCATTATGTCTAAGCATATTTTTTGTCAGATCGAATGGATTGAAGTTATTTGTGTAGATATAAGCATCCATGGTTTTCATCTCGCTGTTGATTAGAAAAACATAATAGCCAGTTATATTAATGTTCATTTGTATCGCTTCATAATATGAATCTAACTCTGAACAATTTTGAAAATAAGTTGAACTATTTGATGTCAACGATAATAAATACATTGATTTTATTAGTGATGAATTATCTGTTGAATGAAAAAAATCAATGAGTATTCGTATTTAGAATGAACAAAAGAAATGATTGGGCATATTCTTTGTTTAATTTCCATTCTGTTTACTAATGAGAATTGAATTGTCTGCTTTAAAGCAATGCTTTTAATAGACAAATAAAGAAAAACATGAAACAAAATATTTATTTAGCGTGCTTAAAATCCGCATGCTCTGTCCAAGAGACACCGTAATAATTACAATAAAGAAATGTTATAAAATCTCATATACAAAAACGAGTATTATTCTGAGGAGAAAGAGTCTGGTAAGTGATAGATTTACAAATTTATGATTTCTTCCTTATCATCATTATTTTCAAACTTTACTTCTTTTATAAATATAATACAGAATATTAGTTTTTTTCGTCGATATCACTAAGCATAACAATAAACTATCTGATGAAACTATTTCATAAAGTTCTAGTCAATCTACGACCATGGCAAGTAAGAATAGAACTTTTTTCTTCTTCTCGTTGTTGACATTTTTCTGTGAAGACACTGACCTACGTTTCATAAAATTATTGTGTTCATTATTTTCTACAGTCAGTAGCAGTAAGTGAGCGCAGATAATGGTGAATTAAAGAAAATTTATAAACAAAGCTCAACAAAAGGGGCTGAATCCATCTCTGACTTTCCTTCTAAATACATAGACATTCTAACTTCCATCTGTATCATGCAACTAACATGACGATAATATTATCGATCAATAATTCAGTTTTAAATCCATCAGGAGTTTCATTTTCAGCTTCTAAGATAGGTTTTCTTTTTAATTTTCTCTGAGTAACTATTGATTTAAATGATATTAGAGATTTTATTCAATCATTCTAAACTTACCACATGATTCTTCGAAATATTGAAATTTTTGAATTCGATCATTCTCTTGATCAGTAACAATCATGTTTCCAGAATGATCGAAACTAAAACTAAATGGATTATCCAATTGATTGGATTGTGAACCTATTCCATAACATCCAACTAAACATCGAAAACCATTCAAGCCTGAACCAACAATACGATGATTGCGTCGATCCACAATGAATAAGTACTTCTCAGCATCTAAGACAATTCCAGTAGGACAAAAAAGTGTAATTGTTGGATTTATTGATGTATTTCCAGCCACTGTGATGCCATTTGGTTTTCCCGACTGGAACAACTGAACTCGATTATTTCGACAATCTGTCACATATAAATCCATATTCACATCGGCAAAGATTCCATGAGGACTATTAAGTTGATTCGAGCCTGATCCTTCAATACCTGTTCCAGCAGCAACACGATTTGAAGTTATAACAGCATCATTTAATGATCTTTTCAATACTTGATGATGATCAGACATTGAACAATAAAGAGTATCATTGATATCGACAAACAAACCATCACATGATGAGTTGACATTCATCACTTTAGCAAAAGTATTTGTTTCTGCACTCCATCTCTGTACTCGACGATTTCCCCAGCCATCATCAACATAAATATCACCATTTGATGTCACGAAGAAAGAACCGGGTTGATTAAAATTACCGGAAATGATTTTTGTTGAATTGACACTATGTTCATCCCATATGACAATAGTGCCCTCCTCTAGATTAGCGACATAAACTGTATTGTTTGTGTTCACAAAAATGGTGATAGGAAATTGACCGACAATCGATCGATTAGCAATCGTAATTCCAGTCGGATTCCAAATGGGTGTTGGACAAAACTTTAGTTGATTGAATGAAAGAGCTGAAAATAGGAAAGAGAAAAACTCATTGAGATCAATTTTAAAAGAACTACTGTGATTGTTGTTGTATTTTCTTGGGTGGCATGTGAATATCAACTGAGAGGAGAATGAATTTATCGAAGACAAAAACATAATTGTAGGATTTTTAGTTTATTTGTTCAACGAAAATGAATTCGAAAGAAGAAAAATGAATTGTGTAGAATGAAAAGGACTTTATTCAAATTGATTGATAAAATCATTTCAATTGAATTTAATATGTGAAAGAGAGGAGAAAATTTTCTTGCTAATCTTTAATTAAATAATCTTTCAAAGAAATTATTTTAGGAAAAATATTTTGAGATAAAATTAAAATGAAAACATTCTTTTTGTTCCTCTCATTATTTCAACTTGAATATTTTGAGAAAAAAATCTCAATAATCATTGATTCTTTTTAAAGATGATAAAAATTTCTATGTACTTGACAATATTCTTTTCTGATAGTTTAGTGATAAAAATTGTAGTGTCAGTCATGAATTTGCACTTGCAAAGCAGTTCCACATTATCATATGATTTGTGCTCTTTTCTTCTTTCTAGCAGATGTATTCATTTCTATGAGATAATTATTCATATATTCTAAAAAAAGATTGTTTTCTTTTGTACAGTTCAAAAGTTTTAAATCCTTGTCATTTTCTATCAGAGTAAATAATATACATAGAGGTGGACGATCAACTGACTTGCTGTCTCACTTCTATTTTTATACATAAAACTCTTTGATTACACCCAACACAATAGAATTATTTCATCAATTGTATTATTTTTTATATAATGGAGATAGTAATCTTAAACCAAAATAGGCAATTAATCCTTTCTTCCACATGTTATAATGCGATATGATGAAATAGATTTCGTTTCTTTCTCATCTTAAGATCTACAAATAAATTCGATATCGACAGAAGATTCTAGTACTGTTCAAGTTTTCAGCCGTTTTGAGACCATAAATCGATACAAACTCAGATATAAACAATACTATCAATTAGTATTCTAACTTATACTTTAAACTTAAACTACACTCATTCTTGAAACCAAAAAAAAGTCTCACATAGCCACTGCATGCATTCAAATCCCGGCTGGCGTCTTCTCAATCAACGAGACATTCATTCGCTAGTCATATATACCACCATCTTTGTTAACGATTTGGATTCATCTAATGCCACCATTATCATCGATTACCAAAGCCTACTAAATTTCTTCACTATCTATATTTTCACACAACTTTTGTGCGCTCTCTAAATCCTACCTTCACCCAATCACATCGTTGAGACTGTGGCGATTTTGTATTTTGTTCGATAGTTTAGACTTTGAAAATAATTTTAGATACAAAATTAAAAAGTTTCACCACTGATAGCTATGCGAATATTTTATAATTTTAACACAGTTTGACAATAAAATGAATCGCTGTAGAGAAACACAACCTCTGAATGAGTTATATTGAAGTCTATAAAAGATGAGAACTATCACTTTTCAATATATATAACAGAAATTTCCATCAAATTATCTTTTGTTCAACTAAAACTGTAACGCATAATATCGTTTGTGCAATAGCTAATCTTCAATATGTAATAAATAAAAATATTTACCTAACGTTTCAGCGTCGAGAATGAACAGAAGAATGATGATAAATACATAAATATTCAGCATCAGTCAACAAGACTTTTTTTTGATAAGTTAGTTAACTATTGAAATAATCTTCTTCTTCTCCTACTTTGTCTTCGATGAAAACAAAATAGTACTCATTGTAAAGTTTCTCGCTAGTTATATATCTCTCTTTTTTTCTCTCGTTTATTTGTTCCAAAATAACACAAAGAGAAAAAATAGTGTTCTAGAGAAGGTTTCGTCATAGCTAAGATAAATAATTAATTTTAGATTGAAATAATAAACAAAACTGGTGATTTAATTTGATATTTTTCATTTAATTCCACTCTTTTTGAAATTCAAAAACACAGAATGAAATTTAAATTCTACATAATTCTTTTCTTTTTTTTTGATTTTATAGAAAAATTTTTCAGTTTATTGAAGAAGAACGTGACAAACAGAAAGGATAAACATCAATGTTAATTATCGGACGTGTTTTAAGTGAAAATAAGATATCAACTTTCATCGTCAATAAATGATAGACGTCAATAAATAAGACATGATTAGTCTGATGTCTTTTTTTTATTTGACTCTGTTAAATAATCTGCTTTGTCAGGATTCACTTTAAATCACGTTCTTTGTTTCTCTATGCGCAGTGAATATCTATGAGAAAAGTTTTCTTCTTTGAATACTTCGATCTTTTCTGAATACAAACTCATCAGACATATAAAAAGCAGAATTGTTCATTGCGGTATGATGTATTTTCTAAGAGACATGAAAAAGATGCATAAATTCAACTCTAAATGCAATATATGCAAGAACAACACTCTGAAATTGGGTGGATCTTATCAATTAGTTGGAATAGTTCTATTCAAACATAATCAAAGTCGTGAAACTCAGATCAGTTATTTGATATTTCTTGTAATCTGGCATTAGCAAGTTGTCAATGACGACGAACATCTCTGATTCAAAATGATTGTAAGAGTGTGTGTAAATGAAAGATGACTATACTTTCCACATCTTTGCTCATAGGCGGATACTTACACCCTTCATTGAGGGTGGGTGTCTTCTCTCCTCATTTACACTCACACCTACGTCTACATTCACCCAGATCCACACCCACTCACACCCATTTGAAATCAATTTCTGTAAATCACTGGCATTGTCAAATGAGTACGCGTGCGGCATTGTATAAGCGAACAACAAACATGAAAAGAAAAGAAAATTTCAAGAGAAACTATGAAGCATGTTACAATAAGCATTGTTGAGGTCAAACTATCAACGCTTGCGACTATCATCAAATTAAAAAGAGTCACGAACGATGCAATAATCCCCAGAAAAGTTTCTCGTCAGAAGCTATTATTCGATTGAGATGCATATAGATCGTTACATGATAGTTCATCATATGTTTCAAAAGTAAATTCCATTACTGTTTTGTTGTAGAGTGAAACAAAATGGAGGTATAAGTTCGCAACATCAAACTTTAATACGTTAGTTGTTGTACGATTTGTTTTTTTTTCTACAACACTACTTTCAACACGTTGTCTCCTCGAATGATTAATTACAAAACACAAGCAAATAAATAACATTGACCTTTTGCCTATTGGTCTTTCTGATCGAATAATATGGTTTCAAAACAAAAGCATTGACGGATCACATTATTAATAAGTTCATCGTCGTCGTAATCTAATAACTAATTCTTTAAATATTTTCATATATGAATCCGAAGGGAAAACAAATATCAGAAAGATCAGCATTGGTGGAGTAAATGAAATAAAATAACCAGTTAAATATAACCACACATCCTGAGACTTGTTCACACATCCAGGTAGTAGCGAAATAACGAGACGAGGAAACGCTAATATTAGTAAAACCACTGGACTGATCACTAGTTGTTTATGCGCATTTAATTGTTGGCGAACATGTTCTTTGTAGCTCTGATCAGTTCGAGCCGCTGATCGTTGTCGAGCAGCACCAAAAATGACGAATGCAGCACAAAACAAATTAGCAACAAAAGGAGCGACAAGATGAAAAAATAAAATGACTGAATTATAGCTTTGGACAATTGGAGGGTAGCGAGTAACACACCATGCATATTGTTCTACCTCACCTGTGCTAATCTTATCTGGTTCTGTTTGATATTCAAATAGTTTACGATAAATAAATTCATGGATTAGAGTACTAGTGATGCAAAATGGTAAAATGAAAACAATCCATCGGGCTATGCGTTTACTTTTTGCTTTCTCAAAGTTGACTCCTTTAAAAACATGAATTGCACGTTCAATAGCAACGCAAACATTCAACCAACCATCCAAATAGAGACATACTTTCAAAATAGTTTCGATCGATTCACAACCTCCACGAAGAACGGCAGTACTCGTCGATACATTGATCTGAGTAAGGACAAGAAACCAGAATTTTATCATGAACATGGTAACTGTAAGAAATGAAATAATGGACGATGCAAGAAGATATATCCCACATCCAACTTGCTGTGCATCTTTATGTTTGAATACGTAAAAGGAAAGAATGGCGTTGATAGAACCTGCGACAAACATAACGATTGTCAAAGCTGCACTTATTTTGATTGAGAATGATTGTTTATTTAACATCACATTTGGCCGAAGCACATCTTGTAAAATGTCGTCCAGAGTCAAGCCAATGCCTTTGACATAAGAATTACAAAGATGACCAATGATACAACTGCTCTCTTTTGAACCTTAGATATTATAGAAAATTTTAAAATTCCTATACTGAAACGAGAGAATTGACTTACTAAAATTAGTGAGACTGACATTATATGGTCCAGAGATGAAAACAGAAAAATTTCCTGTTGTCATTGGACGATGTGTTGTCACGACTAATACATATTTCGCATTGACTTGAAGATCAATGATCAGTTTAAATTGTCCATTGTTACATTTACCATCATGTTCAGCAAGCAGATTTTTCAAAGGTTCGAATGGATTAAAATCATGTTGATATATATAACCATATGTATTCACGTTGCTCTCACTCCACAGAACATATATACCTGTTTCGAATACATTAATTTGCAAAGCTTCATAGTAACATTTTGGCATATTACAATCACGATAATACAATGAACTGTCGACAGTAAACGATGATGGATATGTTGCTTGAACATTTATTGGAGTACCTAGAAATAAAGTTAATATGAATATTCATGATGCTCAATTTAGCGCGAGTGAAAATACAAACAAAATGGTGTCCTGGATTTACTGCCGTGGGATTTACTGCCGTAAACAATTTTCACAAGGCGCGCATTGTTTACATGAAACAAACTTTAATTAATATATTCAATCATTAACTTAAAATGAATCTTTTTTTTTCGACCCCCCTTGCTCTTATTACGTGCATAAATAATTCGTGAAAAAGAATTATGTATCGTATTTATTAAATTTCTTTTCTGATTATATGATATTTATAGGAAATTGTTTTTGAATATGATCATTTTTATGCTATATTATATTCTTATAAGACTTGGAGTTTAATATTTAGCTATTGAATTATTATCTACGATCAATACAAAAAAAAATAGATCTATTTCTATACTATCATATTGACATCTTTCTGTTCGTCTATTTTTCCTTTCGTTTGAATGCATTATAATTATATAAAATATTTAAAAGAAAATTGTAATGATTTTGTATTTTATATTCTAAGTATAAAAATATATTAAAATTATCCATATCAGATAA